GCAGAACGTTTGTCGAAGGATTGACTTCACTTGTCTCTTTGACGAGTTCGTAGCTTGGTGCGGCGAATGGGGAAACTCACTGATGATGCCGACTATGATGCCGGCGAAACTTTTGAGAATGTACCAAGTCCACTGTTAGATGCTGGGAATCATGACAACTACTATGGCAGACGACTTCGAACTAGGTGCGTTCTTCTAAGTCCCCCTGACAACAAGACCAAGTTGCGACAACGAGGTCAACCCAATTCTATAAAGCGAAACGAGACTGCGACCATACCAGAAAGCACAACATCTTGATCTTCATATCTTCAAGAAAAAGTGACGTCTGTTATTGGCCATCAAGATTTAATCATCTTTATCATCCCTTTTATATATATATATATATATATATATATATACATATTAATCATCAATCCAATTGTGAAAAGTCAGACACACGCCGGGTTACAAGGATGAGCTTTTTGTCTTCATTTGAAAGACAAAGGGTGGGCCAAAAAGTACAGAAAAATTATCGTGATTATAACTAAGATTAGTCAAGTTGTTTTTTTCTACAGGCTGCTCAACACTAGTCAAAGCTTGATGGTCGAGAAAAGAATTTATTTTTTCTGTTCTAATTTGCTTTGAACATATATTTTTTCGTACATATACGAACACATGAAGGCACATAAACACACACAGACAGGCTCTCTCACATACTTTGAAGTTAACATATGGCTTGAACTAACTAAATAACTTTTTATCATCATGAAGGAGCTTAGCTATGGGATATGACGAAAACAGCCCATTAAAATGGCATAACTACACTTTCATTACTTTTATTGATGCTTAATTATATTTATATCCCTTCATTTTATGCTTAACCAACATATTTAGTTATTATTTATGATATAAAGACTGTCCTTGTCTATCTTAATACTATTCGTATCACACAGAGTCCGCTTCGTCACCATCCGAGGCTGATATCGTCACTCTTTCTTCCCCTAATGCTCCTCAGTCCAATTCCCAATCTCACTCTCAATCGAATGAGGCATCGCAGGGTAATGAATACGAACAGGACACGGATCCTAATTTCATTCCTGATAGTGCCTCTTCCAGCGGATTTTCACCCATTCATTCGGCACCCTCCGAGTCTACTCCTCATGCAAAGGAAACAGTCACTTCCTCTGGATCAATGGATACAGGACCAGCCGCTTTGTTGGCAGGGATGTCAACTTATGAAAGAAGTGAATGGATGAATACTACCTGCAATCATACTCTCTACTCTATCGTCGACGTCTATTCTCAGTACTACGAAATCCTCAATGACGTTCTCAGAGGTTAGGTCTAATTATAAACTTTTATTATTATTTCTTTACACTTTTACATACGTTCATTTTTAACAATTCAACATATTTCTTCTATTATGTTTTCCTCTAGGCATTTTGTCCAAGAAATCCTATTGTATTAATGAAAGGCTTTTTTAAATCTTTGATAAAGATCTTAGTTTATTAATTGTTCAAACTGCAGATTTAATACATACATTTTGGCTTTCCGGCCAACGGCTTAGAGCCTATTACAAAATTATTGAAGAGCTTTATATCAAAGGATCCCACCTTATCAGATATAATATATA